TTGTTTTTTCTCTAACTCTTCATTACCCTTTCTCTGTTCGATGAACTTTCCTCATTCTTCCCAACTTTTCTTAAAGGGATACATTTCTAATGTGAAAAAGACAACATGATGGATGGAATAGAGGGGCTACGAAGAGAATTCTCAGGCTAGACACAATTGTTGACAATTAAGGTAATCATAATCACATTTTTATGTGGCCAAAGAGTCACTTTCTTTGACTCTTAATGCATATGGCCACATCTTATTCAAGTCACTCTCACAAATCTTCACATGGACTTGAATATGATATTTCTTCTCTTTATTCTTATTGTATCGTTAGAAGCCCCTTACACGCTTAACTTCCGCTTTATTGAACTCCAAGCAATTTGACTGCATGTAAAATATCTAGAGGAATGCAGACTATAGATATATAATACTTCATACTACACTAGCATAAAGAACACAAGACATGTATTGCTCATCTTCTTCAGTCTGAGGTGACAAATATGTTGAAAGATTAAAATAAGCAACAAGCGGAGTCTTCATAGGCTTGGCATCAAGCATGCAAAATCTCTCAAAAATTTTCCTAATATATTTCTCCTGAGATAAAAATAAATTTTCTTCTAATATGTTCCTGTGGATCTCAATCACCAATATCTTCTTTGTTGCTCCCAAGTCTTTCATCACAAACTCATACTTGAGTTGAGATTTCAACTTGTTGATTTCTAACATGTCTTTAGCTATAATGAACATGTCATCAACATACAAATATAAATATATAAAAGAACCATCATTGACCTTTTTATGATAAACACAACTATCATATATACTAATTGAGTAATCATGATCAAACATGAAAGCATCAAATCTCAAATACCACTGCTTTGGAGACTATTTCAACCCATAAAGAGATTTCTTCAATCTACACACCTGATCTTCTTTATGTTAAATAATGAACCCCTCTGGCTGATGCGTAAAGATATCCTCCTTAAGCTCACCATGTAGAAATGACGTCTTCACATCAAGTTTTTTAAGCTCCAAATTAAAATGAGCAACCATGACAAGCAACACACAGATTGATGTGTGTTTTACAACTGGAGAGAATACTTCATTAAAGTCTATATCTTCGGTCTGACTGTAGCCTTTATCTACCAAGCGTGTCTTATATCTTACATAATCTGTATCCGGAGTTTCTTTTTTCTTCTTAAAGACTCATTCGTAGCCATCGGTTTTCTATCCCCTTGGTAGCTCCACAAACTCTCATGTCTAATTCTTCTGAAGAGACTCCATCTCTTTAGTCATCATAACAGTCCAATCTGTGGCCTCACTACTACTAATAGCGTCCTTGTAGGTAGAATGCTCTGGAATCTTAATAGATTCTGTTATGCTCAAAGAGTAAGCAACCATATCTGCATATCGTTGAGGGGGTCTGATCTGCCTTTTTGTTCTCCTGGTTTGTACTGATGCTTTTATGGTGTATCAGCATCTAAAGTTGAATATTCAGCAACATCAACTGGTTCAATATGAGCACCCCAAGCACTTCCTTTGAAGTGGAGTTCTCTAGCTCCACCTGCTTGCTAGACTCTTTTTCAGTTCCTACGGTATCAATAACAAACTCCTTTCTTGGGTGAAGCATAAATTTCTCATCAAAAGTAACATCCTTACTAATAATAAACTTAGGTGACTTGGGATCAAAACACCACAATCTATATCCCTTCACCCAGTAGCATATTCTAGAAAGATAGTTTTCTTTGCTCTGAGTTCAAGCTTACCATCATTAACATCAAAGTGAGAAGAGCAATCAAATACTCTTAAATGAGAGTAATTAGAAGGGCCACTAGACCATACCTCTTCTGAAGTTTTAAAATCAGTCACTGTAGAATAAGATCTATTTATCAAATAACAAGCTGAATTCACTGCCTCAGCCCAAAAATCCTTTGACAAATTTGCATTAGCATGCACCGAGCTCTCTCTAAAGGTGTTTTATTCATTCTTTCTACAACTCTATTTTTGTCGCGGTGTATACTGCAATATACGATGATTCACAATATCTTCATTCTTTCAGAATTGGTCAAACTCTATGGAACAAAACTCCATCATGTTGTCAGTTTCGAGGCGCTTCACTTTCTTTCATATTTGCTTCTCAATCATAATCTTCCATTGCTTAAAGGTTGCAAACACACCACTTTTATGCTTCAAATGACACATCCAAACTTTTCTAAAATAATTATCAATTAATGTTAGCATAAAATGAGCTCCACCTTTCAATGGAATCTGAGAGGGATCCCAAACATCTGAATAGGTATAATCTAAAATACCCTTAGTTCTATGGACCCCGACATTCAATGAGACTCTATGGTATTTGCCAAAAACACCATGCTCACAAAAGTCTAACTTGTTGATTTTTCTGACCACAAAACAAATCTTATTTGCTCAATACATCCAGTTCTCTCTCACTCATATACCCTAACCGCATATGCCACAAACATGTAGTGTTAGAATCTAAATCATCTGAGGATGACACTCTTACAACACCCATCACTATATTGTCTTCAAGGATATGGTGGGTATTACTATCTTTCCTTTCATAATAATAAGAGAGTCTTTACTGACTCTCAAAACTCTACCTTCAGCCAAAAATTTAAAACCATTTGAGTCAATGGTGCCTATAGAAATAAGGTTCTTCTTTAACTCTGGTATATGTCAAACATTGCTCAGTGTTCTAACAATATCATCATGTGTTTTAATTTTAATTGACATAATACTAACAGTCTTGCAAGCCATGTTATTTTTTAATAAGACATTCCTATTATCAGTAGACTGATATGTGACAAACTAATTTCTATGTAGACACATATAGTAGGAAAAACCCGAATCAAGAACCCACTTATCTTGTGAGTGAGTATTAACACTAACTGAAAGAACTTCATGTGAACTAGAAGACTCTTTAGTTATAGTGACAACTGAAGGTTTCATCTTCCAAGACTTCGAATGTGAATTATCATTTGCTTTGAGTGTTGGACAATTAGGTTTTATATGCCCAAACTTGTGACAGTAATAATATTCAATATTTTTTCTTGGTCTTGACTTTGATCTAGACATGTTTCTCAATTTTCCTATACCACCAAACACCTTTTTCAGGACAACCACAGACGAACAAGCCTTCTGCTTGATCATCACCTCCTACGCTAGACACTTTTTGCTTTAATTTTTTTAAATGCATGGCTGATTTGACATCCTCCAAAAAAGTGTATCTCTACCATATAACATGCTATTGATAAAATTCTCAAATGAGTGAGGTAATAAACATAATAAAATAAGAGCTCGATCTTATTCATTAATCTTAATATCAATATTCTTTAAGTCCATAAGAATAGTGTTAAGTTCATCTAAGTAGTCTTTAATTCGCATACCTTCCTTCATATGAAGGGTGTATGAAGGGTGAAGAGGCATTGATTCAAGTAGAGCTTATTCTTTAGAGATTTCATCATATACAAGCTCTCCAACTTGAGCCATAGGCCGACAGCGATATCTTCATTGGCAATCTCCCGTAGGACCTCATCGGCCAAACAGAGTTGTATTGCACTATGCACCTTCATCTCCAGCTTTTCTTTCTCATAATCGAGCATGGATTTCAGCAACTTGTCTTTCCCGGACAAGACCTTGAATAATCCTTATTGCATTAGGAGAGCCCTCATTTTGACTTTCACGAATTGAAGTTGTTTCTCCCGTCGAATTTTTTCACTTTGTATTTTACAGAAGACATCATGAAGCTCACTAGTATAACACTATAGCTCTGATACTAGTTTGTTGCAACATGGGCTTCACAATTTATTACTATCAAAGCACACAAGGACATCCTCTGGCTGATGCATATGATCTTTTCTCATAACAAAATGTCTTAATTACTCTGTTCGAGTAACTTGATTTGAAGACGGTCTTTCTATATGGTGAGCTTGAGGAGGAGATCTTTATGCATTAGTCAAAGGGGTTTGTTATTGAATGTAAAGAAGATGATGTGTGCAAGCTGAAAAAATCTCTTTATGGATTGAAACAGTCTGTAGTGAAAGAAGATATTTGATTGAGAGGTTTAGTTGAAGATATCGGCTTACACCAAGGTGTTACTATATGGTGTTTTGTGATAATCAGAGTATGTCATACATTTAATAAACTATCAGATGTATCGTGAAAGAACCAAACATATAGATGTTAGATATCATTTTTATTAGAGAAATTAAAGTCATCAAGACTGAGAAAATTGGTAATGCAGATAATCCAGCGCATATGATGACGAAGCTTTGTCCCCTGTAAGTGCAAGCTGGTGTTGAGAAACTAAACAATGCCACACATCAGCTACAACATTATCCACTTCATTTTATTGCAGGAAATTAATACTGACCTGGAAAAATCCCCACTCTTCATATGCAGATCTCTGTCTGATGGCTTCTTGGAATCTCAACATCATCAAACTTCATTGAGATCAATCGCAATATTGAATATGATTTACCTATGAGGATCCACATTCAGATCCTTTGAACCAGCAGGGCACTGCACATTTTCCACTGACAAATATCCACCCAACCGCTGCTTCTTCAGCTAACGGAAAAGCTTACGACCCCTCTCAAATAATACTTTTTTTTATCATCGATCCAGAACACTATTATCGGACAGCTAGAACAAATCAGCATTGAAATAAACAGAAAAAGGGGTGAAAAGAAAATCCAAGAAAAAGTTGGATGAGAGCTCAATCAGAATATGAAAGGGTGGTTTTTTAAGTTAGAAGGATATTGACCTCACAATGGTAAACCGCCGAAGTAATCCGAATGAATTGCATTTTATTCCTTCTACCATTTTCTATTTTCTGCAGGAATTTTTTGCAAATTAAGTTCTTCATTTTGGTAGCTATTGCTATAGATATGATATGGGTTTGATATTTCATTAAAAATGTTTGATGATCTAGAATTCTCCACTAGATCAAGTAATATTTGATAGCAAAGATCTCGGACAATTCAATCAAACCATTTTCATTGTTACCGTACAATAACTCCTTAAGCATGTTATTGTGATCCACAGTTCTCTCAAATACAGAAAATTTCCCATTGGTACACTAAGAATAAGGTATATAGTAAAATCTTATCAGTACATAATGAGCTATAACTGCATAATAAGATATAACTGACAACGCACCAGCAGAATCTAAATCTAACTCATTGAGTAACCGTTGTTTATGCCATCAGGTGAAAAAAATGATCATGTTCTTCTCTCTTGTCCGTTAAACATAAAGGAGCAATCATTTATTCTTTTAGCTTCAACTGATCTATGAGGCTCTTTCCATCAAGTTTAGCAGAGACAATCAATTTCATGTAGTTTTCGTGGCTCATAGTCTTGTAGTACTCATTTCCATCCGCAAGCTTCGGAATAGGGCCAATCAAGGCGTCATAGTTTGGGTTGTGAAATGCAGCAATGGATAATCGTTCCTTCTCTGGGTTTATAACTGCCCTGTGCTCAATGCTCTTATATCGGCCATTGCTTAGTATCTGTCATAGAAAAGAAATTATTTTAAAAAATGGAAATTAAGCATACATTTTCCCTCTAAAATTTTAGTCACTAGATTTCAGTATTGGGTGCAAATCAAAGTTTCAAGATTCAACATGACCTAGTTCTTCAGGCAATGTTATTAGTTGGGAAAATATTCCGAGAATGAGACCATCATACGACTTTCTGCTTGGCATTGAAATTTGGAGCATTTGCTTTTTGATGTTGTTAGTTAGGGTCTCTAATTTGCCGTGTTGTACCCAATATGACCATATTTCCTAATACAAAGAAAGTCAAGTATTAAACCTTCAGGTTCACGCATTGACATAGATATATACTTAAGTATCCGGCATAATATCTCCCGAAATAACCATATATTCTAAATACTACCTGAATTTACAAGTATACGAATGGGGGTACACATACTCATGTCTATGAATCATTATAGAATGTGACAGAAATTTTTTCCTCAATTGTATATGTAAAGGTGAAGGTTAAACTCATTTTCCTTGGATATCTCATTTAATAATTAATAAATATTACTTAGTACCAAATGTAATTGGGAGTCAAAAAAAAAAAACTTTAATCAACTATGAATAGTGAGTCTACTGTCCAAAAAAAATGTCATACTTGTATCCGAAATATGGTAATCCCAGTATTCGCTTCTGCATCCACTCCGCTTACATTCTTAACTCCTTAGGATGTATGTTTTGGGACTTGAATGTATATTTCCTTGTTTTGGGTGGTGTTGGCCCATCAGGGCCATCACTATATATTGTTTCTTAGTTTCATTATCATGTCTTAGTAAAAGAGATGGTTTATGAAGAAAGAAAGAAGAAAATATCCGGGCATTTGCCAAGTTCCATGAATAAAAAATTATAAGGTCTAGGCTTGATGCATGTGTGCGCTTCAGGTGGTTGAAAAACAAGCAACTTTTCCAAGTAATAAAGTAAATAACACACTTCACATATATATTTTTTTTTCAAACTATTTAACTTTTCAGTAACAACAAATGGAAGTTAAGATTTATCAAGCATAAACTTTAGTAGTATCAAAGTGCTACAATTAGGGGGTGTGCAAAGGGACGGATAAATTTGTTGTGCATCCAATGTCGTATTTGTCTGTTTGAAAGTGGATATATCCCACACACATACACACACACCCATGCACGCAGTGCGTGCACGCAGTGCGTGCACGCACGCACACACATGCATATTAATGAATGTCCCAATGCATATGTATTTCAAGTATATATATATCAAGTACTGGATGACTTAATATATTTTCTTAAAAAGCTAATCGTGTCATCTATATATTTTTAATGTTTTCACGTAAATAATAATTAAATTTAATGTCATTTTCTTCCTAAAAACTTACTCTTATTTGCTGATGTCCAAGAGATATCCTAGAGCTCATAGTCTCATTTGAATGATCCAACTACTATGGTTAATGAGTTACAATTTCTTTATCTAAAATAGGGGCCCAGCGTACGAGCTAAATTCATCCTTTCTAAACAAAACTAACATGAATTATCCAATTAAAATGCATAGCTAAATTCATACAAATGAGACAACCTTTAACTGTTTGTTCTCTGCATTAATCGAAAACTGCATTATGGCTTAATCAAAATGTACCTCAAGGATATCACCTATGTTGACGATCAAAGCACCAGGGATCGGCTTGACAGGGAGCCATCCACCATTTCTCCTGATTTGGAGCCCCTCCACTTGGTTGACTTGAAGGAGCAATGTCAAACCTACAGAATCAGAGTGAGGTGATAGGCCTAGCACCTTGTCGGCATGAGGGCACGGAGGGTAGTAGTTGATCCTTACAGACTGGAGCCCATCGTTGAACAAGTTGGAGAACTCCTCTGGACAGAGTCCCAAGTTCTTGGCCATTGATCCTAGTAAACAATCTGCAACACGCTTCAACTCAACCGAGTATTTACCCAACGTGTCCCTAATACAGTCCATACATACCTCAGATGTTTTATGGGGGGAGGGGGAAAAAATTAGAGTAAGATATGCGACATATATAGCTTAAGCTTACTCAAGAATTTAGACCGGATGGAGTTTCTTTGCTGAATTGGTTTTACCTAAAAGTTGAAGGACGAGTAGGCCAGAATCCCATACTCCTCCGAGTGACTGGTCGTGTTACGAGAAAATACATGTCTGCCCAGTCCAATTCCTGCTCCTCCGAGACAACAAATGCTTGGCCATAGCCTTCAATGCTACCTGGTAGCTGTGCGTATGCTTTCTTCTCCTCCAACGGCAACCGGAAAAATTCTTCAATATCACCCCTCATTCTTTCGATAACTTCTTCAGGCACGCCATGGTTTATAAGCTGAAAATTCCGACATGATAATCTCACTATTCTAATCCATCCTATTTAGATATATTTCCATTGTCGATGAGACCCAATGTTAGACAGACAGCTAGAGAAAAAGAAAGTAGTTTTGAGAGTAAGCATAAATTGTGTTAAAACAGAACGACAGAAGATGAAGCGGAAGTGGAGAATTAGAGGTACTGATGTATAAATTTTGTCTATGGTACAATTTATAATATACAGAAAATAGTTCTTTCATGTATTCAACAGTATGATCCACCCAAATGTTAAATCTTTATATGACAATACCACAAGCTAAATCATCTAGAACGCAAGGAATCAAATCCGACTATGAATTCGTTTTCAGCTATGAAGGATTAAATATTCAGACAACCAAAACTACACGTGAATATTTGCAGGGGATCGTTCTACAATTCCCCCGCAAAGTCTGCGTAGATGCTCGACTAGCAACAAGATCACGACTTGTAATATCTTCCCTGCAAGCAAACTTAAAGCACTAGAAAATATGCGTCATTTATGAGACGGCCCCTAAATCCTTGCAAAATTCACCACTCACCTGGAAAAATCCCCACTCTTCACATGCCAAGTTCAGCTTGGTGGCTTCAACCTCGAAGGACGCGAGATCAAGAAGTCTTCCAAGATCGATGATCGGAATCTCATCATGAGCAGTACCGTGTAAGTCAGACGCAACGTCAGACCTGATGTACCTTTGAGGAACCTCAGTCAGGCCCTTGGAAGCAGCAAGAGCCTGTACATTTTCAACTGGAAGAGATCCACCCAGCTGCTGTAGCTTCACATCAACATTTGCTGACTCTGCCTCCATCTGTTAACTTCACCGGATCAATTGATCTCTCTTTGGTAGCAATAATAAAACCCCACTGATCTCTTATAACTTCTATCGGAAAGTTCATATCATTTTTACAATAACAGCAGAACTATATTATATGTCAGCAAGGATGTTCACGCCATGCAGGGCCGGCCCAAGCTTTTTTGAGGCCCTGTGCGAAATTGCCGAAATGATAAAATGAGGCCCTCTTCTATATAAATGTTAAACTATAAACGATAGCATTATTGGTGTGTTTCCTAGTTAATAGGGAATAGTTAATTGGGAATTAATGAGTTCAAATTGAATTTCCTAAACTTTAGGAGACAAATGAGCAACTAATCATAATTGTAGTACTAATTGGTGTATATTTCCGGTAAAATGTAAATCAGATGAGTCATGGGTGTTAGGCAGTTAGGCTTAGGCAATGGACATAAATTATTATTTAATTTAGTGGGCTAGTATTAGATTATTAGGCCCTTTTTTAAACAAACAAAAGACTTATTGGAAAGAATTAAGAAATATACTATGGGCATTTTTAAAAATTTGGGGCCCCCTTTGAAATGGGGCCATGTGCGGTCGCCCCCCCTACCCCCCTCTTGGGCCGGGCCTGACGCCATGTGGAACCTTCTGATAAATTCTGTCGAAAAGTATGACCAACTGCCAACAACTAACAATAAAAAGAAAAGGACATCACAGCAGAAGAATCTAAATCAACTCTTTAAGTCGTCGTTATTTATTCTTCCCTTTTAATGTTATTAGTAGTTCAGAACCGGCTTTAGAGACTTAGACTTGCAGAGTCATTGATTTGGGATTGGATTTGGTTTTCGAGTTTTCTTATATATACATAATTGACTAGGACTGTCAAATAAGCTACTCCTAGTAGTTCACGTGTACGTGCTCAATGCTTAGCTCGGTTTTTAGCTCATTTGATAAACAAGTGGTTCATATTCGAGCATGATCATGTTTGCTAATATTCGGTCAGGATAAAGGTTACGTTCGTGTGTGTCGACGCGTTGGGTACATTTTTTAAAAATATAAAAAATTCGAAATATAAGACATAAATCCGTTATGCACATTTTCTAGTACCCAAAAATAGGATAGATTCATTTCACAGCATGAACTAAAGTGTTGGAAACTGTTTTAGCATAAAGTTCAGTCAACAGGACGTCCATTATAGTACAAGTTACTTATAGTTGTGAAAAAAAAATAACATTTCCTCTCCAACAGTTCAAACAGAAACGCTGGGCTTCAAACTTAAAGGCTCGCTTCCAATAATCATCAACGCAAAAGTTGTTTACAAAGCATTTGGTGCTTAATCTATGGCTTTAGGCTCGCTTGAATCTGTAAATGACTTGGGACTCAAATAGGACTGGTTCGGTCAATTTTGGCCTCTTTACGCCCCCTAAACTTGACCCAAACTCGCCTCAAAAAGGTCAATTAAGTAGCATTCTTGCTTGTCCTTAGCACTCCTCATCTGTTATATTCCACACACGCGAAAAAGAGAGGAAAAGGGACAATCACGTTCCCAGCAACATATAAGAAACTTTGATGCCCAGATGATGATCAATAAGGTCTATAACTACAAATTTATGCGGTTTTTGAAGTATGAAATCATCCGGGACAACTACTCTCCTATATTTCAAAATACCAAGGAGCGCTCCGAAATACATCTCATGACATGCAGCCGTGATGGTTCTCCACAAAACATCCTACGTTTTGGCCAACTTAGTAGAGTTTCATCTTGCAACAAAACTAGAAGCGAAATAGTACACACAACAAAAACTTTGTACTTGAAACAAATATTCTGGTACGCACGGGCCATTGTCTACACCTCCAGTCCATTATCTCAAACTATAACAAGGGATAGTTCAGGCAATCGCTGATTAATAATAGCTTCCCGAATCAGGCCTCGGAACCATACGAGCTCAAGCCCAGACGTAAGTTTTGCCCCATTAGAAATGGCCGAGGTAGAAATGGACTCATGAGGTGATAACTATGACTCTAACAAACACTAACATAGAGACAGTTCTAATAGCTTCACACTCAAGCACAAACAGTGGCCACCAAATTTGCTCAAGGACACTTTTTCTAGCAGAAGCTGGGGTTGCAAATGCAAATTTAAAGTATGGTACACCGTCCTCTTTCTTCTGCAGGAGCCGCTGCTGCTTGGGGGAACCTGCTTGGATCCGATGGATTATACGTGAACTCGGAAGTATCGAGCCCATACTGTTCATTGGAAAGAAGTCAGATTTAGACTCATAAGTAGGGAAATGTAATACTAAATGGGTAAATTTCACAAAACTACCATGAAATTTGGGGCATTTTGCACAAAACAACTGTGGCCTACTTAATAGAAAGAACTACCATGTAACGTTTTTTTCACTAAACTACTATATCTCGCAACAATTGTGACAAACTTTCACTTGCTCCACACATTCGCAGGTGACATGTATTAGTCATCTTCTAAATAACCCTTATGAACTTGTGGATTGGTACAAAAACAGGAATTTACGATATTTCACGATCTTTTTCTACACTTTTGAAACTTCATGGTTGTCCTCTCTAATTTAAAAATAATTTAAAAAAAATCTATGGCCTATTTGTGTGAAATCCCTCAAAGTTCATGGTAGTTTTCCATACTGTGAAGTCACATGAAATTTCTACAGAATGAAACAGTACCTTCTCTCTCATCCGCTGACTCCAGGCACGGGGACCCCAGTGGTGGTAACTCCCTGCCTGTTGTTGATCAATGGTTGCCGCATATTTGACCTGGGGTTAATATACTCATCATCGCTGTCATAGTGTGGAGGTCTATTTGCTGCTCTAACTGCCAGAGCAAGCAAGAAAACCAATGCCTGCAGAAAAGAATATTGTGGGGTTTTGTTACATATTTACTGTGCAACTCTGATGGACCTGAAACTTGTAGAAAGTTCACAGTGGCGTGCCAGAAGTATACAATAATAGGCTTATGGACTACCACACTGCAGCAAAATTGATCGAATGTAGCTTTAGGTGCGGGAAATGGTAGCATGACCTATGCATATAATCCACGGTGATGAATTTGTACAAAAAGAAGAATGGGAAAAATGAAAATTAAGAGCTGTAACATTCAAGTCAAAATAGAAAACTTTTTGAAGAATAGGATGGCATGTGATCATTATGATTTTATGATATGAAGCCAATCAAAAAGAATTAAAACGACCATCCCCATTAGTGGCACCGTATTCACAAAGTGATCGTTGTTCGTGCTAGAGCATTACAAAAATTTTGATCATTGTTTTTCTTCTTTGTTTGAAGTTGAATCTTGGTAGCCCAATTTTGGAACTTACGATCCTATAACCCAACCCACCCACCCTTTACTATGAGCCAGGCTTCGGTGGCCACTGCTCATTAAGTTTATCCAAAGTATTAAATGTGAAATATTATGAGCCTTTCTACAGAAAAAATTTACATTTCAAATATGTGCAATTGAAGTTGTCAAAATCATAAAAAGGGGTAGATTAATTTCAAAAATGCGTTGGTTAAACCAAAGTACTACGACCCTAAGCTGCATTGCCTCCGTACTTCAGCATTGTAACGTGTATAATTCCTTCAGCCAAGGTTTTGACATGATGGTCAGTGTTAAAGTTTAAATCTTGGATTATTCTCAGCACTGAGTTTCTACAACTAATTCCCTGTCATTTGAGATGGATGCCTTGGTATAACATCTAATAACCAACTAAGAGTTGATATTGTTTACCATCTGAACCATGAAAAGAAGACGTCCGTTTTCTGTTTCTCATTCAAACCCTGCATTGACCATACTGTTCAGATTAGTTAAACTACTGACGACTTCTTCATTTTGAGTTACATAGGAGTATTGTCACGCCACGGGCCCATGGGCCCGTTGGCACGTGCAAACCGTGACCAACCGAGAGCAACTTGATGTTGGCTAAAATCCACTGCCAAAATACTAGGACTACTTGTTTTTGCACTTTGGGCTTCTCTATTTAAGCCACAAACATTTCTTCACACTAGTCCATGTGGGACTAAAATGAGGGTATCACAATCACCCCCACCTTATAAAGACAACGTCCTTGTCGTCACGATATGACAATTGACACATCCCAGTATCACTGCTAGGCGATGTGGACTTTATAGGTGGCTCCTACGGGTTCTAGAGGTGGCTCCAACCACATCCACATGGTATACTTAGCCGCGTATAGCATTTAGCTCCACACTGCCGGTTAGCAATTGCTCTGATACCATTTGTCGCGCCCCGGGCCCACGGGCCCGTTGGCGCGTGCAAGCCATGAGACCAACCGAGAGCAACTTGATGTTGGCTAAAGTCTACTGGCAAAATACTAGCACTAGTTGTTCTTAGGCCTTGGGCTTCTTTATTTAAGTCATTAACATTTCTTCACACTAGTCTATGTTAGACTAAAGTGGGGGTGTCACAAGTATGCTGCTCTCAAGCAAAATGGAGCATCTTATAAGGGGAAAATATGATCAGAACTTGAGCAACTAAACTCTAAAAAATATAACAGGAGACTATCCCTTCAGTACCAAAACTGCCTCTTCGCTGTCATGCCTCGTCAGCCATGTTCATGGATGGCAGATGGCAATACTTCGAAGATTTCATTTGGATACAATCTCACATGCTAAAAAAATCAACTAGTCTGACATCATACATAAGCCAAGTAAACCACTCAAGACCTTCCAGATCGAGATCTCATCTCCTTTCATCACTGATCAAAATCTAGTTTACCGTGCCCTTTAAATAAGACCTAATTAATAGAGTAACTAGAACTGGTGATTGTAACACTTAACTTTTCCCTCCTTCTCATTTGCCATCATTACCTTATGTTGGCCACCTCTGCACCAATTTGATATTTTCCAGCCAATATAACCAGCATCATCCATTGTCCATTGCCCTTCTGATATTTTTAATTCATCAGCCTGCCCTTCATTGCTTGAGGGTTTTCCACTAGTCCGTTACTGCTCTAACCATTACTCTTAAAGACCTGCCTAGGTGGTCGGCAGCATAAATATGCTCACCAGTAAAGCTGCACATTAGATTTCCCAACTTCTCCTTTTCTCCATGTTCTTTAACTTCTCAAGTGATCTAGTTATTTCTCTCAT